CAATTCCTGTTGGGTTCATTATATTCACTTACATGCAAATATCCTTGGGAAAGGCACGAAACCGCCTCTCCTCTCCCTGCCTATGAGTTAATTAGTAAGACTTGCATTACTAAATAATTATTATTTCCCCTCCTCCAAATTCTTATAATCTAAAAGTATCTTCTAGCTTTAAATAACCTGCAAAGGGTTGATAAGCCATGAAAAAAAAACAAGCAATTATTTTTGACATGTCTGAATATTATTAGTGTAAATAATGGTAACTCCTCATCCCAAAAATTCAGACGGATACTTTTCTTTGTTTCCTATTAAATTTTCCAAACTCTTCATATTTTGCTTCGTTTCTGGAAAACGTCTTTCCTTATTCCTATGTGTCTTTGGATTTCCATTTTCCATTGTTGCATTTTATACTACCTACCTGGTTAAATTTCTGTACCTGCTTGGTTTTGCTGTGCCTAATACAGAGATCAGATTTTATGCTCTCTCGTGTGCTAATAACAATGCATTTTCTTCTCACTGTTAATAGTTAGTCTTTTCTTCTTGCTTTCCTTTACTTCTACTATGTACCACATCCCTTTAAGATGTAGGCAATCATACCTCCCGTCCTTTGTAGCTGTTAGCAGTGTTTGTCTTTTTGTCATCACTCTTAATTCCTCTTCTGCCACCCATTTCCACAATCTCATTACATCTATTTTGCACCTCTTTTCTCTGTCCCTTTTACCTTCAATCTGCCTTGTGAGTGACAAATTTTCTAAACCCTCTTTTTTTATTGTGTGTCCTAGAAATTTCACTTGTCTATTTCTGATTCTAAGTATAAGTGTCCTTTTTGTTTCCATTTTCTCTAGAACTTGTTGCTCACATGCTCAGTCAATGGTATTCTCAGCATCCTTCTGTAGAACCACATTTCTGTTGTCCAGCATCCACTGCCATGTAGGAGCATCAATTTAGTATTTTATCTAAAAGTTCTTTCAGCTTTCCTTCCAAGTCTGCTCTCAATACAATGTCTTTCACATTTCTACTTTTAAGATTATCTCTACGAATAATAAACACATCTAAGGATTATCTAATTATCTTAGGATCATCTTTTTAATATTCTGTATCCTTTCAGAATGTACATGATTATGGCTCTCCATAGTTTCCTTTCTTTAACATCTGGGAATTACCATGAGTTCTTGGGAAAGATAGTGGTATGAATTTTCATTGCCTTTTACACAGTTTTTAAATAAGAGTTGTCATCATCCTTCTCATATTCTGACTGCCACCCACAACTCAAGATCCCAGTTCTACCCGGTCATTTAATCTATAGCAGGAGGGGGAAAAATATTGATTCTTGTCTTTACAACAGGATTTTGTATGAAAGTGAATGCAACAGACAAAACAAGAAGTTGAACCTCCCACTCATCAACTCCTCTTGGATGTGCGGGTGGTGTAATAGATAACACCTAGGAATGAGAAATTGTAGAGCAAAGTTCAAATTCCAGCTGTGTTTGTTACATTCACTTACATGCAAATACCCTTGGGAAACGTATAATTCCATCTTCCCCACCTCAAACCTATAAGTAGTAGAACTTGTATCTGCAGAGATCATTGTTGTTTTCAAAATTTCACTTCCGAAAAAAGAATTGTTCTTACAATCCAAAATATATTTCTGCTTTAAATAACTCACAAAGGGTTGATAAGCCATAAAAAACAAACAAACAAATCAATCAAAATAATTCCTTCTTTCTGCACCAATAACTGCTTCAGGTTCAGCATCCATTCACATCAAATTTTCTCTTTATGCTATTTGCATTAAAAATAGCTTAAGTAAAATGTTGCTTTACATTTTCAGATACCTATAATACCATAATCATCTTGCCTTTTCTTACACTCATGCAACCCTCTACCTTGAGTTGATCTTTGACCTTGTATTGGGTGAACATTAGTAAAAAAGAAAAAAAATTTACTTTAAATTTTCAGATACTTATAAACCCATGATCATCTGGCCCTTTCTTATGCTAATGCAACACCACACAGTAACCCTCTACCTTGAGTGGCTCTTGGGCCTTGTATTGGGTGAACATTAGTAAGAAAGGAAAAAAAATTTTGCTTTTAATTTTCAGATATTATTTTTTTCTTTCTTTTCTTTTTGGTATAGAATGGTAAAGAATCAAGTCGATGTCAAATGATTTGTGTAAATCAAAAAACGGCAGAGAGAACCTCAGAACCTTTGGCTTCACTTTTCACTTGGATTGGAAATAAGGTAAAAATATTTATAGATTTTTGTTTTTTTAGGCAGAAGATATTTTAGATTTAATTTCCTTGTCCTCCATTCAATAAGTATCATGTTTTATTATACTAAAATTAATCTATTTTTTTTTTTTTAGTTTTGTGTTATTAACAAACACAGGAAATTTTTTAATCCATTTTAATCAAACAAATTTTCAATCTCTTTATTCATTGGCACAAGAATAATAAAATGTGGTGTAGGGATGTGACAAACTGCTTAGTGACATCCCTTCATACAGTGACAAAAACAGCAATTTTTACAGCAGCCACTGCATGAGGTTACTTTCTTTTAACCTGAGCCAAGGGTCTAAATCTGCCTCCCCAGAAGCTTACAAGTTCATGGTACCATTTTCCTTTGGAAATATATCTCTCCTGAATATAGAATGAAACCCCAGCTTGCAATTTTCAAGTTGGGAGAACACAAGACTTACTGTTTCCTGTTTGTGGAGTATGTCCTCACCTAGGACATAGATGAATCCAGCCCATTTCAATCTGGAGTCCTAAAAATGGCTTCTCCAGGTACAGGAGTATCTCTATATTATATGTAAGACCCTTCCTTTTGTTTCTCCTTGCACTCTGCTTTGCTGTGTAGATATATGTGATCTATTATTCTCCACACACACACACACACACACACATATATATATATTGTGTGTATTTAGGCAGCATTTTTTCATTGATGCATGTTTCATTAAATAATATAGACAAATTTTGTCCATTTATTTTAAGCAAATTCCTTTCATATTGTCTGATAAGCTTAATAACATTATTATTGAAAGATGAAAGAAAATCACCATATTGATACATATTTTTTAATCCTATCTAAGCTTTCAGCTTACATAAGCCATTATCAAAGATGACAATTACATTACAATAAATTAAACAATACACGGACATAACAACAATGATAGTCTGTTTTGTTTGCATGGATGATTTACAAGCAATGACTAACTTGTGCATGCAAGATGCTGGAAGCGAAAATTGCACCGTGGCCCATGACGTCACATGTTGTGACATACTTCCATCGTTGGCTAAATCACATTGAAACACTGGTTCCAATACGATCACCAAAGTTAATCTACATCGAACCTGGTCAGTACCTAGAAGGGTGACCATTTGGGGATAGCAGATGTTGGAAACTTATATGTGCAGGTCGTGTAATGGATAATGGCTCAGAATTGTTAATCATAGATTTGAGTTCCAATTCCAGTCGGGTTTGTTATAATCATTCACATGCAAACACCTTTGGGAAAGGTATGAATTCATGTCTTCTCTCCCCACAAACATGGGTTAATTATTAAGACATTAGTAAACCATTATTATCTAAAAAAAAAAAAAAAAACAACAAATTCTTAGAATCTAAAAATATTTTCTGGCTTTAAATAACCTGCAAAGGGTTGATAAACCATAAAAAATAAGTCAGTGAATCAAAATACTTGTATTACAGTTTGAAACTGCAAAATAATCTCTTATAGTTATTACTATAAATGAATTGTACTCCGCTTATCATCATAATTTAGTGACAGAAAATCTATCACTAAGTGCAAAGAAATAAAGAAATTTAGTCTCCCCATATCCAGGTGGGGCATGTTCTGAGCCCCCACCCAGTAGATACCTGAAGCCATATAGACTACAGTTCAAAAGTTTGAAGTAACTCTGGGTAATTTTTTTTTTTTTTTACCAATTATAATACTAAATATAAGTCCACAACTAGTAGTTAAAATAAAATTTCTAGTCCTGATTTTTTACATTTCTAGAAAGAAAAACCAAGAAAATGATCGATTAAAATATAAAAATGTTTAAAGATTTCAAAAGATGAAAAATTTTCCCAAAAACTGAAATATTGTTTTTAAAACAAATTTTTAAGACAAAAAGTCTAAAAGTAAAGGAGTATATTTTGACAAGATCAAAATTTGATCATAAATTGTTTTTTTCTTTTTGTCATAATAAAATCCATGATAAAAAAATCATGTCTCACTTTTTTTTTACCATGTATAATAATTTTCTCTTATCTAAAGTAAAAAAAAAAGATACTTTTTTGGGACAATTCTGTTTGTGTTGTGTTGGAATCTTTGTAAAACTTTTTTCAGTGGAGATGTTTCAGTGATTAATCTTTATGGAAATGTAAAAATTTCCAACTTGAACAGTTTTCTTTTAGTAAAATTTAGTCATGAAAATATTGGTGGTTATTACAGAAAGAATAACATTTTCTCAGATTTTTAAAAAAAAAAAATCTATTCATTATAAAAGTAAATAATTAATGAATATGTACTGAAATTTTCATTTAAATTTGGTAATTCCCTGATTTTTGGTAATTTAAAAAAGCACAGCCTTCCCTCCTCCCACTTTTCTTTTGGAGGTTTGTGGCCTCAGGTTGGGAAGCTTTGAAATGAAAATGGGTGGGGGGCAGACCTTAGCACCAGCCCTAAATATATTGTAATAAAAGTTACATGACAAACTGAAAATTCAATCTTGTAGTAAGTTTCAGCAGTTTTTTTTCCTTCTTTATTAAATCAAGGCCTTTCATTTTTTTTTCACTTAAAGGAAAGTCTACACCAAATTGTTAGCATCACAACAATTGCAATTTCAGACCAATAAGTAAAACTTATGAACTGTTGATTTCTGGGTTGCCTCAAGTAGTTGCTGATTTCTGGTCTCGTCACAGGTAAATTGTTTATTTCTAGGCTGGTCACATGCAACTGTTTATAAACAGCTATGCGTGTGATAGTTTATTTGTCAGATAGCTGCATGTGATGTTATTTCTGGGGTGATTGCAAGCAACTATTTATTTCATAGCAAGCCATGCCTAACTGTTTATTTCTGGTCTGACACCACATCACTTTTTATGAAGTATGGCCACATGAAAGTGTTTATTTTTTAGCTGGTCACAAGCAAGTATTTATTTCTTGGCAAGCGATGCATAAGTGTATTTCTGGGCTTGCCACATATACCTATTTATTTCTAGGCCACTATTTATTTATTTATGGGCCTGTTAACAGTTAACTGTTTATTTCTGGTTCTGTTAACATTCATTTGTTTATTTCTGGGCCTGGTAATATTCATTTGTTTATTTCTGGTTCTGTTAACATTCATTTGTTTATTTCTGGTTCTGTTAACATTCATTTGTTTATTTCTGGTTCTGTTAACATTCATTTGTTTATTTCTGGTTCTGTTAATATTTATTTGTTTATTTCCGAGCCTGGTAACATTCATTTGTTTATTTCCGGGCCTGGTAATATCCATTTTGTTTATTTAATGTTTTCTGGGTCAGCCATAGACAATTGCTTATTTCTCATCTAAGCATGCAAAACAGTTTATTTCTAGGCCAACCTGATATAACTGTTTATTTTTTGGTTAGCCACCCATAACTGCTAATTTCTGTACCAGTCCGATGCACGTGCTCATTTCTGAAACCATAAATCCTAACTACAGAAAAGGAAGGAAATTGTATATTTGGATTGTAACAAAAAATATTTTCAAAAACAAAATAAATGTAGTTTATTTTATTTTTGTCTTTCAGGTCAATTTTGGCGTTTACTTTGATGCTGATAGTCATCTTGGTGAACAAATTCTTTCTTCAGGAGCAGAAGTGGTTATCACCAGTGTAAAAACTGAAGACAAACTTTAAATCTCTTTATTTTATTCAACATGAAAAAAAGCAAAAAATTGTCATGTTCCAAGAATATAAAGTTTCAAAAGCCATATTTGGCAGTCCACAACACAACTTGACAACACATACTAATTGTAATAGTATGTTAACTATTTGTTATATGTTAATTGTACTAATTGTAATAGTTTAAGCTTTAATCAAGGTTAAATCTAAAATGAACAGAATGTATAATCAGTCTCAGTGTAAAAAGAACAGAATTTATAATCAAGGCTCAATTAAAAATGAATGGAATTTATAATCAAGTCTCAATCTAATATGAACAAAATATATAATCAAGTCTCAATAGAAAATGAATGGAATCAGGGCTCAATCTAAAATGAACAAAATTTATAATCAAGTTTCAATCAAATATGAATGGAATTTATAGTCAAGGCTCAATCTAAAATGAACAGAATTTATAATCAAGGCTCAATAGAAAATGATTGGAATTTATAATCAAGGCTTGATCTGTACTTGACAACAAAAGATATTAAAACAGTGAATAAATGAATTAAATATCTTCAGTGTCAATATTTGTTTTTCCCTTATTTGTTTTGACTGCAGGTCAAGAATAGAACAATGGAGATTTTAAATAGCATTGCTGGAAATCAGGTACAACAGGTGTGTGTGTGGAGGATAAAATGAAGACAATGCATGACTCTTAAAAGAGGAAACTTTATGTAAATTGTATTTAAATGTGGAATGAAAAGCAGGTTTTCTATTTTACCTAATTTCTAGATTTAGTCACTGAAACCTAACAAAGCCACTATTTCTCAACTCTTCCTCTTTTTTTGTTGTGGTGGTGGGGGTGGTGTTGGTGCTCACCCTAATACAAATTTGATTTGTGAGTTTATCAAAGCTGAAAAAAAGATTTTTGTGTAAAACAATGATACCTGTGAAATAATAACACCTATATTCTGCTAAAAACAAGAATTGTATATTTTTATAGAGACAGTTTTTTTTCTTTTCTTTTATAAAGTAAAAAAAAAAAATGTTAATGCCTAACAAAATAAGTCATCCTGTAAATTGCTGTAGTCTAACATGTTTAAAGGCAAGCAAAGTTTTGTAAACAAAATTCTCAAGAAAGCAACAATTATTAATAGATAAATAAAAGTTTGAAAGACTTTCTGATTTAAGGTTTTGCAGATACACTTCTAGTCAAGTTAAGACAAATCTATTGAATTCATTAACTGATACATTTATATATTTTTTTGTTTTATCGCAGGCTGTTGGGATGAACAAAAATGAATGAAAATAAAAGACAAGTATATTTTAACACAAAAATTAAAAAAAAAAAAAAAACTTTATTTATTCACTGTGTGAGGATTGCATGGATTGTAACAATGAATTCTACATGCGTGTCAGCTAGTTGCCATGTTCAATTCAGAAGTGATGCACTCATCTTCACAGAGAAGGGAAATAACTCAATTGTATTCTGAGTCATCATCCTTTAAAGAGGAAGGAAATTAGCTTCCTCTAACAGTTACATAAAAATAACACTAAGCATTGACTCCAAACAAATTTCAAACCTGTTTTATGCTAAAAACATTATAACTGAATTTGTTTGATTTTTCTGTTCTTATAATTTCACTGTTATAAAACTAAATTTGATAAATGTTACTAACGATCATGTTTGAAACATTTATAGAGTTATTTACTAAACTGGATACCACTTTCCAAATTAAAGATTCTCTTATTCAAAAAGAAGAGAATGTTATTAAAAATTAAAAGTTCATTATTCATTGAACCGATTCTTTTATCCAATATAAAGCTATCTTTATTCAAAATAAAAGATAGTCTTATTCAAAGTAATGAAACTATTATTCACTTCTATAAAAATGAAAATTCAAAGAAACTCAGTAAACCAAGTAGAAAAGTCTTTCAGTCATTTGAAAGCAAAATTTTCTGCCGATCATGAAGGTTCATGTCATACAGAGCAAATTTAAAGAACAAAGCTCACTTGAATTTTGAAGGATTTTTATATGATTGTCAATGGTTTTTATTCTCACATTTTTTTATAATAATTTCACCCTGAGCAAGGTAATAAAGCCACTAAGACACACTGCATGTAAGATAATATGAGAAAAAAGAAAAAACATTATAAGAACAATAAAAGAACTGGAATTAAGAAAACAGAAGATAACAATTGATACTGCATTTAAATTTTTGAAGATCAGAGTTGATGGAAAGTAAGACAGCAGAAGAGAGTTCCACAAACAAGTGTCAGAAAAGAAACTGTTAGCATAGGACTTATGGTTGCATCTAGTCATTTCAACTATAAAAAAAATGAGACCTTGCTGCCAATCTAATACTGTGGTTAAGTTTATAATATCTAAGTACCAAAGAGGAAAGTTCGTCAAAAAATTACCATATAAATATTTATAGAAAAGGCACAAGGAAGCTATATGGGAAAGTGACATAAGCTAAGATGCCAGGTCATGACTGATAACATTGCAGATTCTTTTTTGGATTTTATCAAGAATCTCTACATAGCATCAAACCAGATGTGGCAGAAATATTCAATGCATGAATGAATGGTAGACTTATAATAGATTATTGCTAGAAAAATTGTCTAGTACAACATAGTTGACCAACTATTCTAGAAGCAGACCTAGAAATTCAATATAATCATTCCACTTCATGTCAGTGCAAACAGCCCAATAAGATACAATGTGTCACTCTCTTGAAGGTTAGCATCAGCCATGCTGATGAAGGCAAAAAAGGGTCTATCAAATGATTAAAATAGTGCAGTTTAATTTTTGAGGCATTAAAATTAACAAGCCATTTCTTGCCCCAGTTAACAACAAATTGATCATTTTTGAGATCATTTACCAATTTGACCTTATCAAAACAATCAAACTTAACATTAAGAAAAGAATAAATAATTGTGTCATCAGCATAGATACTGAATTGAGAACTAATGACATTGGGAACGTCACTGATGAATATTTGGAATAACATAAATCCAAGGATAGAAGGACAACTAAATTAATGCAAAAAGATCTAGAAGAGTGGTCATTCAAGACAACTTTCATTTCACAATTTGATAAGAAAAATTGAATCAGATCAAAAATTAATCCAGAAATAGCAAAACCTTTCAACTTCTGATGAAGACCAGCATGCTAACCCTGTTTTTAAGATATCCAAAGCAACAGCCCAAACTTTACCATTCTTATTTAAATTTTGATAGACTCTTTCAACAGTAATTGTTAATACATCAGCAGTTGACCGAGAAGTGAAAGTCATATTTATTATCTGAAAGAAGACCCTACGAAGCAAAATGCATAACCAATTCAGAGTTGATTAGAGCCTCTAATAGAAGGCTAATAGACCACTAGCAGGATCAGATGACTGAGTTCTTTAAAACTAGAACTACAGAAGAAGATTTCCAACAAGCAGAAAAGGAAGAAGCAGCAAGGCATTTATTGTAGAGTTTAGAGAGAACAGGAGCCAGTTCATTTCTTAATGACTATTGCAATGATAGCAGAAATCATGGATAGAGTAATATGGATATCACATAACAGAATTTTGCAAAAATGTTTGCCTATCATAAATGGGCAAAAAATGATTAGCAATATGTAATTGAAAGTGCTTTCCCATTTGTTAATAGTCTTCTTATTTTGGATTTTCTTCTTTATACTAACAAATAACGGCCTCCTTACTTTGAATAAGAATGTCTTTTATTTTGGCTAAAGGTGTCTTTATATTGAATAAAAGAATCTATTCAATGAATAATGGCCTTTTCATTTGGAATAATGTTCTCTTCTTTTTGAATAGAAGTATCTTTAATTTGAGAAGTGGTACCCAACTTAATGAATAACTCTGTAAATTATCTAAATATTCAAAATAAACATTATTTGTTATTATTTTATTGCAAAAAGTATCAATGTTTTTAGTTCTTTTTTCTTTTCTGCACTTTATTACAAAATACAATTTTTCTAATTTGCAAGCATATCTGTTCAAAATCGTTTAACAGTCACTTTTTCATTGCCATAAAATAGCTTCCCTGTGCTTTTTCTATGAATATTTTTATAGTAATTGTTCTTATGAGCTTTCCTCTTTGGTACCTAGACTTTACAAATTTAAGTCCAGTACTAGATTGACAGCTCAGGTCTCATCATTTTATTGTTGAAACTGTTAGATGTAGCTATAGGTTCTATGCTAAGTTTCTTCTCTCACATTTCTCATTTGTGGAACTCCTTATCAGCTTCTTCCTTTACAATCAACTTTGATCTTCAAAAATTTAAATGTAATGTCAATCATCATCTTTTGTCTCTTTGAATCCTATTCTTTTATTGTCCTCTTTCCTTGATAATGTTTTTTCTCAGATTCTTTCACGCTCAGTAACCCCTTGCATCTTAGTGGCTTTATTGCCTTGCTTGAAGTGAAGTGCATTACAGAATACAAAGCCATAATGGTTAGCAATTGGGCAGAGTTCCTTGTAGGCATGGTATTCTGACAGTGATGGATTGCCTTTGAGTTTTGAATATAAGTCCAAAATGGTGCAAATTCAACAGAGGGCCGCAAGAATTCTGAAATGTTGATATGCCTCTCACACCCTGGTTGAGATACCAACTAAGACTACCTGGGGAGGGACTCTGAGCCAATGTGCAACATGCATTCCTGTGATGTCACTCCTCCCACTGCCTCTTAGAATCCAAGCTGCCACCACTCTCTTCTCATAAAACAAATAACAAAAAGAAATGGTCCTTTTCATTAATACCATTTTATGTAGTAGCCTGGGGACCCGGAGACAACACAGAATGCAATGAGTCCTGATTAAGGATTAGTAGAAGTAAAGCTAACTTTAAAATTTGAAAAGAAATTGTATTGTTTAATTTGATGTCGCCTTTTATATGCATATATTCTTTACAATTAGGTTAATTGCAGAGTAGTTTTCCTTTCAGTCAGTTATGTGACATGCATGATACATGCTTAGGCAATCATGTATCGAAAGATACATGACTGACAAGGCAGAT